ATTGTATAAATTCTTCCTCTTTTTCATACTGTTCATGTTTTTTATGATCATATATAAAAACAAACTCTGTGATTTGAAACGTACTGTGAGGAGGTTTGATCTGCTGATGGAACAGACTGAAAGTAATCTGGATTTCTCTTGGTGATTGGCTAAAGTCATTGAGACCAACAACATTATAAAGTCCTTTTGAAAGTCTGCCTGTTTCCACCTGGTCGCTGTCACATGAGGAGAATCACAGGACGCTGTCTGGAAAAGCCTTTATTTACATTCTCTACAGAAGAGAGTCACACTGACTTGTAGTTTGTAGAGTTCAAAGTGGGAAAAACAGTTTTTTGTTAAGGAATACTGTACAGGACAAGATCAGTAAAGAGGTTTCACTTTGACCAGAGGGGTCGCCAAAATGGACACGCAATTACAACTCACTTAGTAGATGCTTTTATCCAAAGCGACATACATCAGAGAGTAAGTACAACACTAATCCATTCATACACTGCCACTGAAGCAGCAGGACCAATGTGGAGTTAAGTTAAGTTCAGACCAAGGACACATTGGACATGTTGCCCAGCTGGGGATTGAACCCTCAACTTTTCGGCAGAAAGGCAATGACTCTACCAACTGAGCCACAGCCGTCCCAATTAAAGTTCCTCAAAGGAGCTTTGAGTGTTTGAATCTAAGAATGATCAGGAAGAACAAAAACATGAATGAATCACAATCAAGTCCTTAAATGTTGGAATGAACAGATGATGATCACATCAGTGTGTTCATGTGGACAACATCACACATTCATGCATAAAGCTCACTGTCATCTACATTTACATCTTTTATTCTTTATTCAGTTTGTTCAGCTGCAGTTTGTCAGAGATCAGCTGTTCTTCTCTGGCCTCAGCTCTGAAGTCCAACCCCTTCCATCTCAGAGAGCTGGACCTGGGTGACAACAAGCTGCAGGATTCAGGAGTGAAGCTGCTGTGTGATTATCTGCAGAGTACAAACTGCAGACTGGAGACTCTGAGGTCAGATCACTGACTGTGTCATTCATTTTTATCATATCAATCCACATCCTCCATTGTTGCACATTTCAGGAATTATATATTTTCTGTATTTGTCTGAATTTAAATCTTGGGAAATGTAATCATTTAGAAGTTTCTTTTTTTTTTTTCAAGCTGCTGAATAATTTAAAAGATTTGATGTGAAAATGTTTTTCTGCCTATGTGAAGTTGAACAATGTGCACATGAAGCCTCTGGTTTCCTCTGGTTCTGTTAAGAAGTGAAATCATGAAGACTTTGGATTAAATAATGTCTGATTTGATAAATGTACTAACATCACAGAGCTGACTGAGATCAGCAGCCTGTTCTTCATCTGTGCACATGAACAGCTGTATGAATGTTGTGCTGACATGTGAAGGATTTAGATTTAGCGAATACACAATCAGAAATGATCCTCTAATCATTTAGAGAAAACTTTATTCATCAGGACAAAGTGATGTTGAGATACTCATCACAACCTGAACACATGTGAGTGCATTATACATAATTTTTATTCTTATTTTATTCTTTATTCAGATTGATTCGCTGCAGGTTGTCAGAGATCAGCTGTTCTTCTCTGGCCTCAGCTCTGAAGTCCAACCCCTCCCATCTCAGAGAGCTGGACCTGAGCAGAAACGTGAAGCTGCAGGATTTAGGAGTGAAGCTGCTGTGTGATTATCTGCAGAGTCCAAACTGCAGACTGGAGACTCTGAGGTCAGATCACTGACTGTGTCATTCATTTCTATCATATCAATCCACATCCTCCATTGTTGCACATTTCAGGAATTATATATTTTCTGTATTTGTCTGAATTTAAATCTTGGGAAATGTAATCATTTAGAAGATTTTTTTTTTTCAAGCTGCTGAATAATTTAAAAGATTTGATGTGAAAATGTTTTTCTGCCTATGTGAAGTTGAACAACATGCACATGAAGCCTCTGGTTTCCTCTGGTTCTGTTAAGAAGTGAAATCATGAAGACTTTTGATTCAATAATGTCTGATTTGATAAATGTACTAACATCACAGAGCTGACTGAGATCAGCAGCCTGTTCTTCATCTGTGCACATGAACAGCTGTATGAATGTTGTGCTGACATTTGGAGGATTTAGCTTTAGTGAATACACAATCAGAAATGATCCTCTAATCATTTAGAGAAAACTTTATTCATCAGGACAAAGTGATGTTGACCTGAACACATGTGAGTGGATTATACATTATTTTTATTCTTTTTTTATTGTTTATTCAGATTGATGAACTGCAGTTTGTCAGAGATCAGCTGTTCTTCTCTGGCCTCAGCTCTGAAGTCCAACCCCTCCCATCTCAAACAGCTGGACCTGACCTCGAACGTGCTGCAGGATTCAGATGTGAAGCTGCTGAAAGATCTTGAGAAAAATCCAAACTATCGACTGGAGACTCTGAGGTCAGTCTCTCAGTGTTCTTTAGTAAACACTCCAAATATCAGGTCATAAATAGAATTTAGATTCTTGTTTTTGGTCGGAGAAATCATTTTCTGGGGTCTATACTACGAAGACAGTTAAACATACCCAGGGTTTATTTTTCTGTTATTTGGCTTCACTAACCTGACATAAGAGATCGTGCTGAACAGTCACATGAAGCTGGTTATCAACCTGATAAATAAATTCAATTCAATTCAATTCAATTCAAAAAACTTTATTTGTCCCCGGGGGGCAATTCATAAACCCGGAGTTTCAGAGAGCACGTTCACAGAAAAGGGGCAGAGTTAGCTTCATGACCTATCACAATCATCACAGTCTGCTGTCAGCAGATCAAACTCTGAACAAACTATATTAATAACATGAAGAAGTTTAAGACAAACAGGCTCCCAAAGACTAAAGTTACACAGCTGCAGGAACAAATGCAGGAAGGACAACTGGCAGAAAAAAGAAACATCAGAGAGTATTAATGTCCAAACTACGGCTTCAGTGTTAAAGTACAAAGGTGGAGTGAGGGCGGAGCTTAGTTACAGCGCTGTGGGGGAATCTGATGACTTACAGCTGATGACGGGGGTCTGTGTAGAAAATGATTTCTGTGATCTGTCTTCTTCTCTCATTAGCTGGTGATGATCTCTGACAGAATGTGAGCCATCAGGACGCTGGTGGTGCAGAGAGGAGCAGCTGTGTCCTGATGATCCACAGAGGATGGACCTCCACCATCTTGTGGGTGGAAAAGCGCTGCAAGCTGAGGAGAGCTTCATCCATCAGGGACTGACAGAGGAATCACATCAGAGTTAATTTCAGTTATATTTCTAATGAATTTGTTCTCCACACATTACAGGAGTGGAAGGTCAAACATGAAACAGCTAGTAGAAATGTTAAGGGATCAAACTCTACCAAGAAATGCTGCAGTTATTCTTCTCATGTGATGATTATTTTGATTCTATTTCTTACAAAAAGTACAAACCAGAACTTGATCATATGTAACATGTATTAGAGTAATATCCTCTTTAAAACATGCCCTGCACTCCTAAAATTTCCTGACCTCATCAGGCTGAGCTGCATGTGTGAACAGCAAGTGTCCTTTCACACTAATTATCAAATCACTACGCGTTGGCTCCAGAATTTGTGTTTGACTCTAATGGTTAAAAAAACGGTGTTTTTACATTTTTCTTCTGGTCGACATCGCGCATCAACTGCATGAGATGTTAAGATCAATGGTCGCTCAATGAGTCAGGTTTCTGAGGTCACATATGGAGGTCTACTGCTGGATTCTTGTCTGACATTCCAGTTATAGTCTGAGGAATAATCCCGGTTTCACCATTATCACCATTATTTTGCATGAATTTCACATTACAAACATTTGTAAAATCACACTAAACAGTAAATAGACTTGAGCTTCTTTATTTATTTTCTAGTCTTCTGACTACTAAAAGCACTTTTACACATTCATATGCCGCCAATGAAGCAGCGGAAGCAACTTGGATTTAAGTGTCTTTCCCAAGGACACATCGGACATGTGGCTGCAGGAGCTGGGATCAAACACTCGACCTTCCTGTTGAGAGACGACCGACTCTACCACTGAGCCACAGCCATCTCTCCCTTCTGAATCTGAAGCTTTGTGAAAAATATATCTAGTTGGCTTTTTTCACTTAAACTGTTGCTGCCTTTTGAAGCATAAATGATAATTGAACAGTGATAATAAAACATAATGAACTTCAGAACACAGAGTTTGTGTCTCTTTTGTTTTCACTATCAGAATCACTTTATTGCCAAGTAGGCTACATTTACACATACAAGGAATCTGACCTGGTGTTTTAGTGCTAAACAATTAGCAAAGGAATTTAAATTAAAGCTGCCCAAATAAATATTTATTCTTAAAGATGGAGTCGGTAGAAATGTTGGCTGCAGCTTGTAAACACAACATTCTAACTGGGCCCCTCCTCCTGGGCTCATCGCCCCCTGCAGGACGTAGTGTGTACGTGTGTACGTTTACTGCTTGTAGCTACACTGCAAGCTAACTCAAGCTAGCACACAAGCTAACTGCTGGTGTTTGTCACCTGCCTGTCCAACAGGAAGCAGACCATCTCCACTTCCACGGGTAAAAGCCAACAGAAGGTTCACCCTCGTTTTAGACCGAGCTTTATCCGCTTGGTGTTTCTCCTCACTGCTATTGGTTAAAACTGCAGCATGGCAACGACATTGATTGACATATTTAAAGACAAATCAGTGTTGTTAGCATGGTGTGTTGTTTTGGTTAAACCCGGGACATATTAGTGATTTATAGATATTTGTGGGGACTCGGGACTCAGAGCTTGTAAACGGGTCCCGGGTCAAATCAGGACGTGTGGTGGTCACCCTATTAATGCTAACTGTTGCCAACACGTTAGCTTGTTGCACGGCTCCCAAAGAAGAAGTGCAGCTTATACAGCAGTTTTTAAAGAATACAGCTGAAACATATCCACCTCCATTCAGCACACACTATCCATACTGTAACATAAAATAAAGCAGAACATAACAAAGTGTTTTCTTGAAGCATTTATTGGTAAGAGTCCATAAAAAAATGAACATGTCTTTGATATCTCTACATTTCCACCTTTCAAACAACCAGGAGAACAAATACTGAAGGAAACATCAAATGATGAACACCGGGATGAGAAATCTTTTACAAAAACACCCACGAGAGGTGGACACTCTGTCTCCTCTCTACTGAAGACGTCTTTCTCTTCTAGTCGTAAATAAGCGTCCTCTGAGCAGATTGACCTTCGCCTGTTCTTTTCTATTCACGCTATCACCCCAGTTATTGTTCCATCGTATCAAAAAACAAGACGGCTGCTTGAATTCTGCTCCGGCCTAAAATTCAAACACAAAATTAAAAAGACAAGAAGTCCAATCACGGGAGATTAAGTGTCTAAACGTGTCACTTTACATCCGTCGGGCCCACCCACAATAAATACAGCGATTAAAAAAAGCTTCACTACTAAAAATGTTTCTTGGACAAAAACACAACATGAAGGTGAGATCTCTGCAGGCCGACCTCTGACCCCAACCCTAACCTGCACCGCAATATTACACTAATCATGGATGGCGCTTCTGCCGACAACTATACATATTCATGTGTGTGTGTGTGTGTGTGTGTGTGTGTGTGTGTGTGTGTGTGTGTGTGTGTTTAAAAAAAGGCTCCGAGTCCACCAAACCGAGGGAAGTGTCGAGCAGCTCTTTTCTTTTTGGACTCGGCCTCCTTCGGCCACAGTTTCTTCCTCTTGGTGTCCGTGTGTCCTGAAACAGAAGAAGAGGAAACAGTGTCAGTAAATATGTTATCAAATATAATATGATGCAGTCCCTCTCTCTTATAAGACTCCTATAGAGGAGGGTTTATACGCTGCAACACGTTGCTTAATATTTAATTTTCTTCAAGATGAATTAAACAACATTTGCTGGCTGTAAAATGTTTTTTTTAAAGTAGGAAGTAATGGAAAGACAAGTGCTCAACAGTGTGGTTCAGGAAGTAAAAACCTCATTCATTTTCTCCATAGCCGATATTATTATTAGCAGTGATGTCATAACCACCACAGGTAGACTGACCACCAGCTAACACGGTTTATTCAAGATATCGGGGGAAAATAACTACACTACCCACGACCATAGAGTGTCACAGCTTCGTCTCTGATTGGTGGAGCTCGCTGTTACCATGGCAATGTTTCCCTCTCTGCAACATATGTGACAATAGTTTTGAAAGCTAACAGGAAAAGTGCTAATCACCTCGTTATGTTGCAGTGAATGTAATTTATATTTTCAACAACACAAGGTATTACAACACTTGAGTTCACAGAATAAACACGATAACAACGACTTAAGTTACATTTAAGAAGAAGAGGTATTATTCACAATGGATTGTGGGATGTGTAGTTCCTTGACTCAATTATTATTTGAGTATTTGGGTGTCTGGATGGTAGAGGTGAGAACGGCAGAAAGGTTTACAGACCGATGCAGAGCTGGCTAAACACTGAAGCTTCAGTGTCCACCACATGGCAACCTGTGTGAGCATCGACTCTAGAGAGGAGGGGGGGAGACAGCTCTCTACAATGTTTAGAATTTGGACTGCACTACCCATTTTTAACACTAGGTGTCAGAGTTACATACTGCTCCTTTAAACTCTTACTTTCATTTTGCAGTAGAAGTTAAAAACATGTTTTCTGAGGAGCCGTACGAGTAGGGAGGTATGCATGTCTTTAAAGGGGAGCCGTGTGTGCGGGTAATTAATCAGCCCCTGCATTGGCGGGTGGGCGAACCTCTTGTTAGTCCCAGACTCTGTAGGCCGTGCTCCTCCTCTTCCTCCGAGGGGTTTTGGGCGGAGTTCCTCAGGTAGCGCTGGTGCAGGGCGATTCCAGGGAGTGCGTTCTGCCTGCGGCGACGGAAGTCTTCGTCCAAGGAGTCTTCAGCCGCGACGTCTGTGGGTGTGAGCAGAGCACAGCAGAGTGGGTGTTCAAACCAACATTTAATCTGTCTTCATTTATTTCTACTTGGCGCCCAAGATTTTCAGATCTCATCGCCATTGTGTCATGTAATTAAGGCGGTTGAGAGGAGAATAAAGGGGGCCAGATGCTCTCCCCCCTGCTTGAACCTGGTCCTTGTTTAGAGGAGGAGCTAGAGCAGCATTTCTGAAAGTGTCATAGCAGGTCCTTAAAGGCATCACCAGTTTTAAGAGACCCGGAAGTAGGGGATCCCAACGCATTTTAATGGAGCCCCCCGACTTGTGTCTAAAAAAAGCTGACCCTCAAGGACCCACATTGAAAAAATACATTGCTGTCAAAAGTGAACATCAATTGTAGGTGTTTCCGTTGGTGCAGTCCCGACAGAAGAGGCCGACAGACTTGTCCTATAAGACGTTTGTTATGAGGAGGAACTCAAACTCATCTCCATCCTGACACAGATTAAGTTGATTTGACTTTATATTGTTGCTGTTGTGATGCCTCGTGTTGTCATGTTGATAGTGGATGGAGCATTGACTGTAAATAATCAGATACTAGTTGAAAAATGCTAAACCTCTGTGGATCCAGCAGAGGGCGCAATTGCACCATTAATGTAACACCTGCAGCTGCACCTCTGCTGTTTGAGATCCTCCCTTTGGTTTCTTTCTTTACATTAATTTAACCCTTTCCTTACTTAATATCAATGTGTCTGATCTCTCCTTAAAATCACATGAACATGAAACAGACTTACACATGCAGCACAACAACCAGCCGTGTAGGCAGCGGGCTGCAGCGTCACCTAGCAACAGGACGACGCAGGCGCAAACGCCTCTTGTGGCCGGGTCCAGGTTACGTCAGCTCCGGCTGCTACTTATCTGTGCAGCGCTTCTGCAAACGTTGTCACCGGTGAAAAGTTTTGCCCTCATGTTGCTGTTGAAACTAACGCTGCTTCTCACACACACACACACACACAGGAGCTGTGGACATGCATTAGTGGAGAGGTGTCAGAGTGGGACTGCTACACAGGGAGCACAGCAGAGCCCAAGTCCCTACCCACTGAGCAGCTGGACACCTTGTAATTGTAATTATTTTTATACAAACACATTTGCACTTTTTCACATCGACAATGGCTGTATCATTGTGATTTAGGACCATTACAACATTTATTTGAAATGACACACTCTGCATTTATATTGTGACTCTTTCTATCTCTCCAGCTGATTTTCAAGCTGAGGACTCTGCTCACCTTTATGTTATTTGGTGCAGTATGAAGTGGATGTGAGAAGTATGTCACTAACAAAGCAGGTTTTTTTCTGTCTGCCTTTTCTACCCAACAGACCCAACAGACAACTTCAGATTTGGAGAACAAAAGCACACCCTCATGTTTGCAGAGAAGCAGTATGGTCACACCTGTATACAGAACACTGACCTTGCTTACAGCTACTGATTATAACCACCAGAACCCCCGACTTCCTGCTCGAAACCGTGATGGAAACAAGATGTAAGTATTTAGTATTACAGTTATCTAACATAAAAATGTATTGTTGCTGTTACCTAAACAGTTTTGAAAATAGGAAACCACTCTAATACAAAATTATATTATTGTCCAAGGTCCTGAAGTTGCTGCAATAAAAATCAAAGAGCTGGAGTGTGAACGCCTTGAAAGAGACTACGACTACATTTCACAGGGAGAAGCTGCTCCTAATCTTTCTGTCTGCCTGTATCTACAGCTGTGCATCATCAGAGCTCAGGTCCATCATAACAAAGCTCCAGGATGGTGAAGAACCCCCCCCACCCCCCACCCCCCTCAAGCAGCTGAATGTGTAAATAAGTGCCAAAACGTGCTTTTGATTGTATTTCTATAGACTGTCAGTGTTTTTCTAATAAATAACTATTTTATCTTGATCTCTTTAGCTTTTCCTTCTTAATATATTATCCTATTTTCTTATTACCTTTGGTATATTCTGCATGACAATGCTCAGGGAGATATTTTACATTTTCATTGTTCTGCCCAATGGCAATGGCTTGAATCTTGAAACCTGGATAATGTTTTGGTTATTATGTAAATATAAATAAGAAGATAGAATAAAAAAATCAGTGGGAGTAATGCACACAATTACTAATTGTTATAACCGTTACCAGTACAACTACAGTCACTAAATGCAATCACAACAATAGACTTAAAGTGTGTATTTTATTATGCAAACTGGTCAAAACAAAAGACTTCAAGGAAGTCAACATACAAACTCAACTTGAATTGACACAAAAATACCTAAAAGCAAAGCCACCACAGGTATTTACAAGTCTGTCAGACACATTTTGTACACAAGGCCAACACTACGGTGGCCGGAAGGGGTCAAACGCTCAGCAACTGATGAAACGACATACATTTAGAAAAACGTGCAGCATATATAGAAACGCTGCACATTCAAAAGCAAATGCAAACTACCAAAACAAATGCAAAGGCTGACACGCGCTGCAAAGACACAAACGCGCTGCAAATAGGCAAAACAACTGCATAAGCATCAAACGCGCTGCAAGTACAGAAACGAAACTTAAGTCAAAACACACACAACCAGAAAACAACAGCAAACACAGAAACGCTGCAAGTTAATCCTTAAACGGAAGTGCTCCAGGCCTGTAGGGCGCTGTGGAACTGTTTATTTAGCCTACGGGGTAGAGTAAGAGAGACAGCTAGGATCAGAAAGTTCTGTTTAGATAGGGAAGTTGTATCGGGTCACAGAATAACTTCAATGTTACTGAAACGCGGAGATAAAGCGAGTCCGACCGGGATTTTGACATCGGGGACGAGAGCCGAGTGTGGGTCTGTGGCTGTAGCCCCGGAATGCCCGGAGCTAGTGCTAGCTCTGGGACTATGAGCTGCAACTCATCCCTCTGCACCCGCTTTACCAGCCTGACACTTGGTGCTTTCGCCATCCCCGGTGTCCGGGTTGAACTTGCTACTCATCTCTTTGCTACAGTTTAACATTCTCCCTGTCATCAAACACTGACACGTCACCCACAGAGAGCCCTCTGCCCCGGGCCTGACAAGTTCAAAATCCTGGCAGACGGAAGTCCCGTAGCCTGGAGTGCTTAGCATTTCTGTCAGTGTACCTTCCCTCTCATTATTTAACATTATAATCCTCTGAACGCACACACTAGATTCAGACCACTGGAAATCAGACCCAGCTGATTTCCTGTAAATTGAGGGGGGAGGAGCAACACTAACCTCATGATCCAGCATCATGAGAGGAGGCGGGACGGTAAAAGTGTTCAGTCAGTGAAGACTCCATTTCAAATTGACAGCAGCAGAGAACTGAAGAGTGAAGCGGGGTGAGTGTTTATCCAGAGTTTTTATATCTTCACTTCTTTAGTCTCAGTTTTCTCCTGTGAACACAGAGTTTCGACTTAGATTAATATGACGTGTGTGTGTGTGTGTGTGTGTGTGTGTGTGTGTGTGTGTGTGTGTGTGTGTGTGTGTGTGATCAAACTGGTTTTTCTTGTTTCTTGTTTGTTGATCTTTCAGTCAGTGTTTCTGTTTTTTCCTCTCAGACTTCAGATCAGAACATGGACGTGTGTTTAGAGGACGAGGAGGACGGAGCAGAGTCTCTTGTACCCAGCTGTCTGTCCCTGAAGAGTGATCGGTCCAAAGGTGAAAATCCAAACTTCAGTAAAGAACCTGGACCCTCAGACACAAAGTAAGAAAACTTACCAACTCATTACACCATAGATTATTTTTTAATCGTTTTAACTCACATGATTTTAATGAAGAACTGTCTGTGTACAAGAATGCTTCTCCACAACAATTGGAGATACATATTGATAAAGACTGTGTTTTTAAACTCTTCAGGGGAGTGAAAGAAAGGAAAAGTCCAGGCCCAGATAATATCATTGGGCGACTTCTTAAGAACTGTGCAGAGCCATTGGCTGACATTTTTCCTTTATTTTTATGAAGTCCTTGCAAAGAGAGTCCCTTGCCTTTGGAAAGACTCTGTAATTGTACCTGTACCCAAGAAAAAACACCAAAATCTTTTAATGACTTTCGGCCACTAGCCCTCACTTCTCTTGTTATGAAGGCTTTTGAGAAGATTGTTAAGAATTAAATTTTTGGTGCAACTCAGGAAAAACTGGACCCACTTCAACTCGCTTATAGGGCAGGTAGGGGGGTTGAGGATGCTGTAGGCACCTTACTTCACATGGTCCAGAGTCACCTGGATGGTGCAAAAACTTCTGCACAGTTGCTTTTTGTTGATTTTTCTAACCCCTAACCCTTTTAATTGTATCCAACCTCACATTTTAGCAGATCGACTTTCAAGCATCTTTAACGTTGACTCTAGTTTAATGTGTTGGCTGATTGACTTTTTAACTGATAGATCTCAGAAGGTCAGAGTAAATGGGGTTTTATCTGATGTTCTTTTGTCTTCAGCTGGCTCTCCCCAGGGCTGTGTCCTTTCACCACTATTATTTGTATTATATACAAATGACTGTCAATGTCATTACGATGGCAGACAAGTAATCAAGTTTGCAGATGACTCGGTAGTTGTGTCTTTACTTGGTGAACAGGAGTTCACCAGTAGTGGCAGACTTCGCTGAGTGGTGCAAACGCTCCTTTTTAGAAATAAATGTCTCTAAAACCAAGGAGATGATCTTTGATTTTAGGAGGAAGCCTTCACCTGTTACCCACTGCTGGCTGTAAAGCAAATTGCCCATCAGGGATAATAAAGTTTACCTTGACACCTTAGATGTTTCCTTGTAGGGTTGGTCAGTCACGTTGTAAAGCTGTAATCTAATCTAAGAGGACTCTTACAAACCTTTGGACCTGCTCCTTATCCTCTCCTTATTCCCTGCTCCTACTTCTTATTAGTACGTTTATTACCAACAGAAGATGGCGTTCAGCACGGCCCCTGTTTCAAAGAGTTTGTTATTGTCTCAGTTTAGTCTTTTCCATCATCATCTGATATGATTCTGTGTGGTCATGGTCATACAGAAGCAGAGAAACTGAGTGAGTTGAGGAAAAGTAGACATGGTGTTGCTCTAAAATTAGAAGGCAGCTCATTCTCCCCACAGGCAGTTTAAAAAGTAGACCTCTTATTTTTCAATGTAAATAATCCTCGTCAGTCATGTTCCTTTGATCGTGGGATGGCCAGAATCATGATTCAAATAATATAATTTGTGCAGCTATAGTTTAAAGACCCTCCTGCCAGTGACCATGATGTGTTCAGGGTCAGGTTGTGTCAAAGTCTAGGACTGCCTTTATGTCACAATCTGACCTAGGACAGTAGAGACGGAATCCATAAAGAGAAGGACAACAAATGAAACCGTAACATCACTAAGGGCACACTCACAGTAGGTCATCCGTACTGTGTTCTCTGTGTTGTTGTACGATGTGCGGATGCAGACTTGACGTGTGAGTGTGCCTTGATACTGCTGATCCACCACAATGTAATTCAAAATGTTTCACCACATCTAACCTCAGTTCAAAGGCAGACTAACCCGAGCCCAGCTGTCTGAAGTGACAGTGAAACAGTTGATGACAGGATCACACTCTTTGAATAAACTGCACGTGATGTTCAGTCTGCTTTAATAAAAAAAAAACTGCACACAGATCATTAATGTTTCAAAGACGGTGAGAGAGAAAATGTTGTTCTTTAGTTTTTATGAAAGTAGGAGGGTTAAAACACAAAAAAACACTCATATCACTGCAGACTATGAGCTGAATACAAACAGAAGAAAGAAGGCGTTACCTGCTCTCTATGATCAACAGAGTGTTTGGATCGTGTTTGATAAATCTTCATTTTTTCTATCAGTCAACAATCAGTTTAGTTCTAAAGACATGTCTTCACAGGGGGATGGAAACAGGACCTGGAAAGCAGCCAGTCAGTCAGAGCAGCACTGAACAAAGTAAGACTGTACACCTTTCTGCTTCTGTGATCTCCTCCTAAAACAGGACTTTTATTGGTAAATGTAGAAAGAATAGAAATTAAAACTCTTTTTTACTTCTTTTACAAAAACATTTGAAAATAATAAGCAGATTCCATCATTCTCTCTTTCAGTAGATAGAGGTCTGCAGGAGGTTTTAGATGAACATAAGGTCAGCCTGAGGACGAGATGTGAATGTGTGACTGAAGGAAGTGATGATACAGGAAGTAGAACCCTCCTCAACAGGATCTACACTGAGCTCTACATCACAGAGGGACAGAGTGAAGAGGTGAACACCCAACATGAGGTGAGACAGATTGAGACAGACTCTAAAAAGAAGACCCTCCATGAGACTACAATCAAGTGCCAGGACATCTTTAAAGCCTTACCCGACCAACAGAACCAAAAGACAGAAGCTCAACCCGACCAACAGAACCAAAAGACAGAAGCTCAACTCGACCAACAGAAACATGAGACAGAAGCTCAACCCGACCAACAGAAACATGAGACAGAAGCTCAGCCCGACCAACAGAACCAAAAGACAGAAGCTCAACCCGACCAACAGAAACATGAGACAGAAGCCCAACCCGACCAACAGAACCAAAAGACAGAAGCTCAACCCGACCAACAGAAACATGAGACAGAAGCTCAGCCCGACCAACAGAACCAAAAGACAGAAGCTCAACCCGACCAACAGAAACCCATCAGAGTGGTTCTGACAAACGGCGTCGCTGGTGTTGGAAAAACCTTCTCAGTGCAGAAGTTCACTCTGGACTGGGCAGACGGCTCAGAGAACCAAGACGTCAGTCTGGTGATCCTGCTTTCATTCTGGGAGCTGAACTTGATCGGAGATAAGGTGTACAGTCTTCTTGAGCTGCTCCGTGTTTTCCAT